GATCCTTTTGACAACCTTGAGATGAGACTCTTTTGGGATTAGCTCGAAATCTGGCGCATAGACATACGTTAAAAACTATGTCAGGTCTACTGGCTGTTAAGTAAATAGTGACCCAATCATTCATTGATACATCTTGATGTACACACTTGTTCCTTTCTCATCGGCGTCAAGTGTATCATTGGTTCCCATTGGAGTGGTCATGGCCTTGCAATTCATCATGTCATACTTTAGAAGTAACTCCTTGAGGTACTTTTGTTGCGAAAAATGGATTCCCTCGTTTGATTGCTTGATTTGTAACCCAAGGAAGACATTTAATTCTCCCACCATACTAATCTCGAATTCAGAACTCATAAGAGCAGAAAACTCATCATAAAGAAAATCATTAGTAACACCAAAAAGAATGTCATCTACATAAACTTGAACAACCAACAAGGCTTGATCTTTTATTTTCAGAAAAAGTGTTTTGTCAACTTTACCTCTTTCAAAATCATTTTCCAAAAGGAATTTAGATAGTCTTTCATACCAAGCTCTAGGAGCTTGTTTTAGACCATTCAATGCTTTAACATGTTTAAAAACGTGATTAAGAAAATCTGGATTTCAAATCCCGGTGGTTGTTTTAAATATACATCTTCCTTAAGATAACCATTCAAGAAGGCTGTTTTAACGCCCATTTGACGAAGTGTGAATCCCATGTGAGCGGCAAAGGCAACGAGCATTTTTATTGCTTCAAGTCTTGCTACCGGAGCGAACGTCTCATTAAAATCTGTCTCTTCTTGTTGGTTGTATCCCTTCACCACAAGCCTTGCTTTGTTTCTAGTAATTTTTCCATGCTTATCTAGCTTGTTTTCAAACACCCATTTGAGACCAATTATGGTCTTGTTCTTGGGTCTTGGTTCTAGATGCCACACTTTATTTTTCTCAATCAAATTGATTAAGCTCTTCCTGCACAGTCCTTGATTTAGGTCAGTCAAGAGGTTATCCAAAGGATGGTTTGTCCATAACAAACTTTGTGCCTTTGAACCACTCTGTCGAACCAGGTAGGTCTAGTTCTAGATTGTGTTCTGTTTGTTCAAGAACTGATTTGTCCTGTGGTTCTGTTTCCCTCAAAGGACCGATTCTAAAAAATAGGTTTTTCATTAAAGTGAGCATGACTGGTTTTGTATCCGAGACCAGTTGTGTTAATCTCTTTATTATTGTACCGAGAGGGTCCAGTTCTAGAATTAGGTCTAGGTCTGGTTTTGTTCTTGGCACTATATGACTGATATTACGGACCAGTTCTTTTACTTTTAAAATCATGTCTCTCATCCTCAAGACGATTAAGATGACTAATTAGCACACCAATGTTCGGAATTTTGGAAAGAAGCTTTTCGTCTTGATCGACTTGTTTATTCATGCTATCGAACTTTAGTGAACAAATACTACTATCTTGTTCTAAAACCACTTCACTGTACTTAAGCTTTTCATCTAATAACTCTCCCACTTTAGTTTTAAGCCTTAGCTTTGCTCGTGTGGTTTCCTCGAGTTTAGATTTAGGCTCGGGGATTATGATTTCAGATACTCATTTTCAGAAAGATTTTGATTAAGCTCAATAGTCAATCTTTTGAAAATTTTCTGAACCTTAGCCTTTGGTAGAGAAACAAATTTAGAAAGAAAGTTTTCCAAACTCACCTCAAAGTTCTTTTGGTCGGATTCCTCGTCAGAATTTGCTATAAGACATAATCCGGTTTGATTTGAGCTTTTGTCACTCTCGTCCTCATCATCATCAGATGAGTCTCCCAAGCAGCCATCATATCCATTTTCAAATCATTATTCAGGCTTTTATCTTCGTTAAATCGCTGGGTTGAACTCGTCTTGTTCCTATCCTGGGTTTTGTCATTCTTCTTTCACGAACAATCTTTTGCCCTGTCCTCAAATGTTCCACAAACAAAGCAACCTTGATTATCAAATGATCGAAAGTTTTTCTTACCTTGTTTGTTGTTGTTGTTCTTGAACCACCAATATACTTTTCCAAATTTCTTAGCAAACAGTCTCATTTCATCTTCATATTCGCTCTCAGAATCATCTTCTTCTCGTGCCTTGAGAGCAATGTCTCTTTCTTTTCTCACATCTTCAACATCTTTTTACTCTTGCAATCCTAACTCGTATGTCATGAGTGAACCCGTCAAGTCCTTTAGGGTTAGGGTTGATAGATCTTTGGCCTCTTCTATTGCAGTGGTTTTTGGCTTTCATGTAGATGACAAACTTCTCATCACTTTTCTCACTTGATATTCAACTGATATATCTTTTCCTAAGGCTGAAAGCTCATTAATGATATTAGTAAACCATGTAATCATATCCCTAATTGACTCTTTAGGCTTCATTATGAAAAGTTCTTAACTCCGTATAAAATGTCAATTTTGGATGTTTTTACACGGGAAGTACCTTAATGAGTAATCTCAAGCAAATCCCATATTTGTTTGGCGGACTTGCATCCTAGAACTCAATTGTGTTCAGCAGGACCAAGTCCACAAATCAAATACTTAAGAGCTTGGTCATTATGCTCAAGTTTAAAATAATCATCTGAAGAATATTCAGATTTAAGTTTAGGAACAATAGTATCTTCGTTGGAGATCTTTGTGATAACATTATTACCTTCCTCAATAACGTTCCATGCCTGATAGTTGTCTGCCTTGATAAAATTCTCCTTTGACTTTTCTGGAATTGATAGATAATGCCATTGAACAGTGGAGGTCGTTGGGTCGAGTAACGTTCTTCAAGACGGTCAACCGTGTTCATTCTACCAGATCACTTCTCAAGGTTTTACCCTTTATGCGGAGAAGACCGGCTCTGATATCAATTGATGAACCGGTTGAATCACACGGGGGGGGGGGGGGTGAATTGTGTGTACATAGAACTACGACAGTTTTTCGCCGAGTTCTAGTGCGGGACAATGGGAAAATAGAAATTAAAGGACACAAAGATTTAACGAGGAAAAATCCCTTGGCTAACCGGGATTAAAAAACCTCGACCTCCCTAAGAGGAATTTAAAAAAAAAATCTTCACTAAAAGCCTTTAAATAAGTTACAAGATAAACTCTTCTAGTTTACTCTGAGCCACCCCAACTCTAGCTAGCCTCTCTAGGTAGAGTTCTCACTACCTTACCTTGTGGGTAAGGAGTTTCTCAGCTTTACAACAAAGCCCTCATTTCACACCCCAACCCTCAGAGGAAAGCATTCTCAAATGTTTCTCTCAACCCCAATACAATAGAAGCAATTGAATTACAAAGGATAGAATTGCTAATGGAACCCTCCTTATTTGAGTATTTTCTTCTCAAATATTTTTAAATAACACGTTTTATTTTGGAAACTTGATTTGTAGAAAGATCTCCTACGTAATACCTTTGATTTAAATAACTTTCCTTTACAGAAAAAACTCTTTCTTTGTATGATAATTGATTATATCATTACTAGAAAAATTCTACGGAGTATTTAATTTAGCAAAACAAAACCGAAATTGGATGAAGAGGAAAAACATTTTAAGTAAGCCAAATTAGTCAATCTTGGATTCGCAAAACAGTTCTAGGACCGGATTCACAGTTTGTTCCGGAGCATGACTTAAATTCTTTTCCTACAATCACTTTATACAACACATCTAAGTGTTTATCATCATCAAACAGGGACGGATCCAGGATTCTGAGTCAAGGGGGGCGAAATTTTTCGTTAGTGTAGGGGGTGAATTTTTTTTCGTTAGTGTAGCGGGGTGAATTTTTTTCCCCTAGTGTAGCGGGGCGAAATTTTTTTGCTACTGTGGGACTATGCGGCTATTTTTATTCAAAATATGACATTAATACATGCACATTTTAAATCTAATACATTTTAAGTTTAGACGATGACATTTAAATCTAGTACATTTTAAGTTTAGACGATGACAAAGACATCAACCAATACATTTTTAATAAATCGGTTATTGAATTGTAATTTTTGTCCACCAAGGAGGGTGTTCGTGAGTCATGACTCATGAGAAGTTTTCTTAATATTACAATAGTAGTATACTAGTATGTATGAGATTGTTATTTTTAGAATAACGTGCACCACATACACACACACGTATATATGGCGCATATTATAATTTAATATTTTTATTAATTCTATAATAATTTAAAGTTTATTATCCATGCAATAAATTATTTTTAGAAACCAAGTAAATGAATTATGTAATCTAATGTCTATAAATATTTATATTTTGGATTCATTTCATGTGATCTAAAAATTGTGTAATTAGTGTGTCTGGTATTTAATATTGTTTGATATATGTTTTACAAAATCAAGTACTTGTTATCTAATAAAGATAATTAAACATTACAAAACTAGGAATTCTTATATAATAAGTATCCTAAATCTTAAATAACGAGTTACTCTATTGTTTATTTGTTTAAGTTATGTAAATTATTTTAGATGTTTATTCTTTCAAATCTCCAATTAAGTATTACATTATGTAAGAGTATATATATACTAACTTTGAAAATTAAAAGCTAAGGGGGGTGAATCTAATTAAATTATGAAAATTTTATGAAAATATTACATATATGGTAAAAAAATTTGAATGTCCAAGGGGCGGTCGCCCCGCGCCCCCCAAATCCATCCATGTCATCAAAAGAATAGCTTTCAACACTCCGTAACAAGGACGTAGTACGTCGTGACTATAGTACGTTATGATCAAGAGATTTTTAGTCTAGGGAATCCAAATTTCTAGACAAGGCCAGAAATATATAGTACATTGTCGTCTTGTGGACCACCCAGATGAAAAATTCTTTAAAGTGCACAATATACGAAGTAATAATGTATTATTAATGGTGATCAACTTTGACCAACGATATCTTTTAATACAAAATTATTTGAAATATGAAAATTATATGAGTTTATTCTTTATTAAAAACTGTTTAATAAAAGTATAAAATTTATAAATTACACATAACTATAATACCCTAAAGTCATTGTCTAAACTTTAACACCATTGACCAATAATAGTCAAATTGGTCAATCTTTTTTAGAATATAATATACCCGTAGTAATAGGTACCGGGACGGACGTAGTAATAGGTATTGGGACGTACATAGTTAAACGATAAAAGATGCACGATATGATAATGATAAACACATACACACAGACATGAATGCATAAGAGGTAGTAATTAATACGGAGCTGAATAATAATAAGTTAAATGAAGAAGTAAGTAACTCAAAAGGTAAACCACCCGGCCGGCCGGCCGGCCTCGATCAGGCATGCACGTACATATAATGTTTTATTTTGGGAGTTGGTTGACCAAAGCCAGGGCGTGTTTGGTGTCCTTCAAAGCAGGAGCGATGACGCTCTTCACGCTTTTGAGTCCGTCCGTGCACGTGACCAAATCCGTCTCGGCGCCGCTCATCCACGTCTGGAGATCGTTCACCTGGAGTCCCCGATTAGGATTGCCGACTGGGCTGAGCGCTTTGATCCCGTTGACCGATTTTTGTATGCCGGCCAGGGCGTCTCCTACTTCAGAAATGCAATCATTAAGGGCCTGGCCCTTGCTCTTTGACGCTTTCAGGCTTTTGTCTGCAGTCAGGGTACTACTCTGGCTCAAAATTATGGCTGCCTGAACGTCCCTTTGGGTAGTAGTGGCGGTGGGGTGGATGACCGTGGATGCATCGCCGGCCGGTGACGACAGCCGTGATGAGTGACCGGGAAGTGCGATGATAAAGAAGACAAGTGTTGTGAGTAATAGCAAAAGCTGTGTCGGAGAGGTTGCCATGGTTGAGCTGATGGAGAAATATACTATGGTCAGCTAGTGATCACTTAATAATTAATTAATGGTAATTACTAGTAATTGATGGACAATGGCTAGCTGTTTAAATAATACCGAGTACGTAGCAAATGAAATTATAACGTACCCATTATACCCTCTATATTGATTGCCGGAAGCTAGTCCGGAACATATGCCGCTTCGTACTCGCCAAAAAGTTTATGTCAAAGTCTCAAACATAATCATTGTTAATTAATAATGGTGACAACTCCGGTACCCTTTTAAAAAATTGGATACCGTACCTACTATGCATTCGATTGGACCACATCACTTTATCATTTTTAATTTAGATTTAAATAATTCAACTGCAACATTCCCACTGGTCCATGTGGACAAAGGTATGGTACCTTATGGGTACCATAGAATCTACCATTAATAATTACTCCGTATAATCTCATTGGTAGGATTATTAACGGAGTATATTACATGTAAACTACACGAAGTACCCGGGTGATGCACGGGATATATCTAGAATAATGACTTAACTAAAATTATGTTTTATGATGGTATATAATGTGGAATTTTTTCAAATAAAAAAAGACGATAAAACTTATGTGTGTTTTTACTTTTATTAATTAATCATATACGTAGTGGTAGTTGTAATAAAATGAAAATTGGATCCTAAAAAAATTCAAGTAAAATTAAAATAAACGATAAGGTATAATCAATAACTCTATGTGACAATGAAATAACTTGATAGTGATCAATATCCTCCGCCGCTTTCTTCCCGGACGCGGAAATGACGACCGGCTTGAAGAAGAATCGGAAGAAGCGTGGCCACGTCAGTGCCGGTCACGGGCGGATAGGTAAGCACCAGAAGCATCCCAGCAGTCGCGGTAACGCCGGAGGTATGCATCACCACAGAATCCTCTTCGATAAGTATCACCCTGGGTATTTCGGGAAGGTCGGTATGCGCTATTTCCACAAGCTCCGGAATAAGTTCTATTGCCCCACGGTGAACATTGACAAGATCTGGTCCCTTCTCCCGCCGGAAGCGAAGGAACAGGCCGCCAAGAGCAAGGGTACCGCTCCACTTGTTGACGTCACCCAGTTTGGCTACTTTAAGGTCTTAGGTAAGGGTGTCTTGCCGCCATCCCAGCCCATTGTGGTGAAGGCGCGAAGCTCATCTCTAAGATTGCTGAGAGGAAGATTAAAGAGGCCGGCGGTGCCGTCGTTCTCACAGCATAAGTTTATGTCTTTTTTCCGTTTTGTTTCGTTTGATGCCTTACTGAACTGGTTAAAATTGACTGTTTTTGAGTTCTGAAAAAAAAAATGAAATAACTTGATAGTACAATTATTAGTGGAGCTCATGAAACTTTTTTTGTTGTATTTCTTGCATATATAGTATATCCTCTGTTAAATGCTAACATCATAGATTGTACAAATCGATGACCGTTAATTCGCTAGCAGATGGAATGATTAGCTTTTGGCGACAATGAATATTCTCTCCGTATTTTAAAGATTACTAGATACTCCCTCCGTATTTTTTTGTTCCATACATTAGGATATGGCACAAAATTTAAGGGTGAATAGTAGGCATAATGAATAGTATAGAAAAAGTAGAAGAGAATGTGAAAAGTAGGAAAGAGAGGGTAAAAAGTAGAATAAGTAAGGGTAATTGAGTATTTTTAAATAAAAAATTTACCAAAAAAAGGAAAGTGTATGAAAATTTTAAATACATCAAAAAAAAGAAAGTGTATGTAACTTTAAAATACAGAGGAAGTATGACTTTAGGACATTATAAGGAGGAAAGTAATAATTGTAATGAATAGTGTAAAAAAAGTAAGAGAAAATGTGTTAATGTATGAAATAAAAGAAAAAATATACCTCGTAAAAAGTAAGGGCAACTCAATTTTTTTAAGGAAAAACTTACTAACTATGGATACAAATATAATGAGAAAAGTGTAACAAACTTTATAATATGGATAGAGTATCTATAAAGAAAAATTTCATGAGACACACCAATTGTAGTATTTAATTGGTTTTTGATATACCGTATTGTTTATTTTAATAATACTTGAAACTTTTATATGATCCAAATTTGTATTTTCTTATAGCTACTATTGTGTATATAATTAAAAAAAGTTACCGCACATAAACTCTATCTCCTTTTTTATTTGACAAATTGCACATTGCATACCATTAAAAAAAGTTACCGCATATATATATACACGATGTGCATCGCACGGGTACTTCGTGTATTTTATATTGAAAATGTTATTCAAGTCCGTTGCTAAGGGTTGTGGTATTTACTTTTTAATGTTGAGGTTTTAATTTGTCGAATTTATTTATATTATCATCAGAAAATAATATTTGTTATTTAAAAAGTTTAAGTAGTGTTTCCAAAAATGTGTTTTGCTTAAATTACACACTAACAGTTGTACTATCAGGTTATACTTATTACATTGTCAAATAGAATAATTGTTATAACCTATCTTTTGTTTTAATAGTAATAGGTGTTTAAAATAAAACCTCATTACTATTTTGGATGTCATCTTGCTCCTTTATAAAAATAAAGATTGTAAGAAATATTATTGATAATTAATTTTATAATTGTAAGTCGATGACTAAATTATAAGAAAATTGTCTTGATAGGAGTAAACATGTTTTGTAATTTCAAAATAAGACTGCTTCTTCCTGAAATAGAAGTTATTATTGTCACGATTGAAAAATACTGTCATGTCAATGCCTAATATTGTAACTATTTTGACAGTGATGAGTCATAGATGATAGTAAATACTTCTATCTCGGAAAGAATAACACAACAATCCTATTTTGAAATTTCAAAACATGTTTACTCATATTTGGGGATTTCCTCGTAAATTGTACTCCGTATTACCTTCGCCTCACTCAACTTTGTTACATTTCCTTTTTGTTTGTCTCAAAACTTTTGTAATTTTCCTTTTAAACAAAAATTTGTGGTTTAACATGTTTCTCTTTCCTGTTCACAGACCTCAATGTTAGAATTTTTAATTTTCTTATTTTACACATATTTCAAAGTTGACAAAGTCTATCGGAACAGAGCTAATATACTATCTCCACCCCATAAAATTCGTCTCCCTTATCTTTTTGGGATGCCCCAAAATATCTTCATATTTCCCCTTTTAGAAAGTTTAATTTGGTGTGGTTAACATTCATTTACTTTTTCTTACCCAATCACAACCATACATTTTCACTCCATTCTCACTTTCTTAAACTTCGATCCAAGTCGAATCAGGAAGAATTTTATGGGACGGATGGGGTAAATGTTAATGGATGCATATAATGTGGATATGTGGAATGAGAGAGATAAACACAAAATAACATATTTATGACATTTCTCTTTTATTCTTTCAACAGTCTTATGCCAAAGTTTATCTTCACCCTTTTCCTTTCCCATTATCACTATTTAATGGCAGATAAATTTTCTTGGAAGGGAAAACTCTTTTCATCCATATTACGACCCTTGCATTGTTTTAGAATGAGTATAATACTCCGTATATTTTTCACATATTTCAAAGTTGGCAAAGTCTATCGGAACAGAGCTAATATACTATCTCCATCCCGTAAAATTCGTCTCCCTTATCTTTTTGGGATGCCCCAAAATATCTTCCTATTTCCCATTTTAGAAAGTTTAATTTGGTGTGGTTAAAATCCATTTACTTTTTCTTACTCAATCACAACCATACATTTTCACTTCATTCTCACTTTCTTAAACTTCGATCCAAGTCGAATCGGAAAGAATTTTATTGGACGGATGGGGTAAATTTTAATGGATGCATACAATGTGGAATGAGAGAGACAAACACAAAATAATATATTTATGACATTTCTCTTTCATTCTTTCAACAGTCTTATACCAAAGTTTATCTTCACCCTTTTCCTTTCCCATTATCACTATTTAATGGCAGATAAATTTTCTTGAAAGGGAAAACTCTTTTCATCCATATTACGACCCTTGCATTGTTTTAGAATGAGTATAATAGATTGACTTATAATTTTTGTGCTTTTGTTTAATGTGTAATTAGTTATTATTGCTATTAAGTATTCTACATGAGACAAAAAGGTACTTCATACGTTTCGCTAAGATTGTTTCATTTTATCTTTTATAGAAGTTCCACTACAATTGTCTCATATCAAATTTAATAAAATTTATGTGGCTCTAAAGCATTCTTAGATTATTTTTACTTTATCAATTCAATATCAATCACATAAACTCACTTTTCTTGTCACTTCTCTTGTCTCAATTTCAATGGGATTTTTTATCGTTATATCAAATTAGGAATTTTTTTGACATATTATATCGTTATATTACTACCTCCGTCCCCCTAAGTTTGGGACAAAGGGGTGTGGTGTGGTTTTTAAGAAAAAGTAGAATTGTATGATTGGTATTGAATTGATAAAGTAAGAATAAATTTTAGTCACTCAAACATTACCTAATATGGTATGGGACAAACTTAATGAGACGGACGAAAAAGGTAAAACGAGACAAACTTAGAGGGACCGGGACAGTCAAACTGTGAACTTAATTACGGGACGGAGGGAGTACTATATAAAAACAGTAGAATAAAGGAAGCGACAATCGGTATGAAAGTAAATAGTAAAAAAGTAAAAAATGAGAAGCTGAAAGCCTGAAATAGAAAGAATGTTTATATCTCTCAGTATGAAAAGTAAAATAGAATAGTTGAAATATAAAGAGTGTTTATGTCCTCATAATTAAAAACTTCTTGATATATACTTCCTCTGTCGCGTTGAAACTTGAAAGGTTTTAGAGAATTTCTTTTGATCTAGTTTTTTAGGCTTTTCTTTCGTTGTATTGATTTGTTTTCTTTGTTTTATTTCCTTTTCACATTGTAATGTTTTACTTCCTCCATTAAAATTCACTGTTTTCTAAAAAAAATAGTCTCAATGATAAAAAACAGAAAGTTCCCAATTTCTTTATTTGAGTATTCCATTTAAAAGTTTTAATAAAAGTTTCTTTACTTCTTCAAATAAAAGTTTCTTTATTTGAGTTTCCATTTTAGGAAATAATGTACTCTCTTTAATTACGTAGTATATATTTACTCAAATTTCCCTTTCCTACTCAGTACATTTCAAGTCTCACAAAAT